TATGAAGGCCGCAACTCCGAGTGTGAGGTGGTCCTTTGCCACACAAGTTCTCCTGCAGGACAACCATTTGTTTGTTTTCTCCACCGCAAACTTCGGTGTGACCAGCGTTTGGACGTTGCCCGTTGCCCCAGAGGTGGACATGCTGAAGCGATGTTTGGAGTCCATCTTGGCACAGTCGCTGCCGCCCAGGGCGTTGCTTGGCCCAACAAAGCTCTCAAATACGGTTTTGAAAAGACATCAGGTGGTCTGGCCATCCTGACCGGTCCGTTCAACAGTCAGGGATGCTCTCGCAACTCACAAAAGGCACCTAAAGACTAAAGCTCTATGCCCCGTGTTTTGATAGGAAAAAACCCATTTGTTGGGATATTTGGGTGGTTGGTGGTTCAAACAAGAGGTCACTCAGGTTTGTTTATCTGTCACTTGTGTCCGGTTCCACATGGAACAGGGTCAACACATGCCAACTGCCAACCGTCTATAGTGCAGGCATTCTTTGGAATTTTCCACAAAGCACGGTCGAAATGGAGTTCTTTGCGAGGAATGTGCACCACACTTGATGTGTGATTCAAATACACCCCCGAACAGGAACTGCTCAAATCCCCAAGACTGTTTTTGGCCAGTCCGTATATAAACCACCACTTGGGATTTGAGCCAAGAACCTGACATGTGACATAGATGTATAAAGATTGGTTCTTTTCCGGAAGGCTTGCCCAAATCAGGCTTTGGAGGTCTTCCCTCGGCAAACAAGGAACCACCACACGACAAACAAACAAACTAATTAACGAGGGAGTGTGGAGTCGAACCACCACAGTTTGTGTGCTGCACAAAGCGATCATTCGCTTCGCAAGGCAACGCCATACCCATTAGGCAACTGGCTCCTTAACAGTTTTTGCATAACAATTTGTCGCAGTGAGAGGTGCATGTCGACCGAATCGAACCGATGGCTCAGGCTCTGGGTTTGTTGGTACGCGCGTGACTTCAGCCTCCAGCTGGTGGTGCGTCAGCTTCTGGATGAGTTGGTGCCGAGGCTGTGGGCTCCGGTTTCCAAGCCATGTGGTATGGACATCTATAGACACCAGAAGAGATGATATTGGCACATTTTTGGACCTTTTTGCGATTGGTTGACCTGGCTGAGTTTGGCCATTCGGAATAGAAGAGAGTCAGAGTCCTCCCGTGGAACCCTGAGACTCAAAGATGGTCGTTGAGCCACCTGTTTGGAGCATTTTGTAGCAAACTTGTTGGAGGAGCCCACTCAACTTAGGACTCCCAAAAAGGTAACGATGAAAGCAATGACCTTAAAACTGAGTTGACAAAGGTTTGACAAACTCACGAGAAATACTTATTCCTTGTCGAACTTGGTTTCCGTTGGAAAGTATATAGTTGTAGCATGCTGTACTTGTAGCTATGATGAACATGGAGAGTTGGACAAAATCAATCGCTTGGTTGACACCTGTGTTGGCTGAATTGAATATAAATATATAGTCACGGACAGCCGGTAGGCAGAAATAATCCTGCTTACCACAGCTGCTCGAGGCTGCTTTTTTGGGGTTTTTGAGCGGACCTATATGTAAGCCTAGATTTGGTCAGCCAGGCTCAAGGGGTAGTAAGCAGAAAATGTGTGTCTATCAAACATGTTGGGTGCTATCTTGTGAAAGCCTTTATCGAGATATGTATATATATATACATACATACATACATACATACATAAATACATACATACATACACATTCAAAGAAATGGGACAAGACTATGGCGTCGGGATTAAATGATTTGAGGACACATTTTATTTTGTCTTTGATTCTAGCACCCGCCATGGGTGATCCCTCGGATCCTATACTACAAGCCCACCAGTGGGCACACTGCGCAGTTGCTCATGTAAACGGGACACTATATATGGGGACCGGGATTGAATGAAAACAGCTGTTGGACACACGTCTGATACTTTGCAGTGTAGTAGGCCTGAATGCTTGCTGCTGACTACTGCACCACGTGCTGGACGAGACGACAAATGCATTGATAAATTACAATTCCTTCTCCTTTTCCTTTCTTCTCCTTTTATTTGCCAGTAGTAGGACAGGTAGTAGGACAGGACCCAAAGGACCTAGGAAACTTAGTAAGGAACAAGGATTAAGGAACATTAGTCAAAGCAAAGCAATAGCAAACATGAAGCAAACAAATATATACATCTTGAGTGAGGAGCTCTAGTAAGCAGAGGATTTGAGGTGAGGGGGTTTTAACATTTACCGCCCGGTGAAATTATCTGCTTAATTTTTGGCTAGGTTCCGTTCCTGCCTACTAGTTGTCCTTGACTATACAAAGTACTTCGGGGGGACGTTTATTGCACCTTTCTTTCCCATGACCATCGCACTAATTAAAGGGTTCGGGTGCGTGCTAAGTAGCGGACTTCTTTGGTGTTGGCGGAAGAACTCATCATCAGTAAGAAAACCTTGCAGCCATTTGCAGCATGTGCAGGTGTATTCGAAGAGGTACTCCACTTTCGCAGTTGCAGACAGAAGCTCAGTTCGTAGTGGTACCCGATGTACTCGTACTCTTGCTTGTGTAAGAGATGCATGGAGGTGGTACCAAGGAAAAGCAGGACATTTGGTGCAATCAAATCAAGCATAATCAGCTGGGCTCTTGGCACTCGTGGCACTTGCTCCCTCAAGTGACCGAGCCGCGCCTGGCCGGAACAACGGGCCGTCGATCTCCATTGATCTCTCAAGGCTTGAGGAGCCTTTGGGCCAGTGGCGGCACATTGAGGCAGCAAGATGCTTAGAGGAGGAGAAGTGGCACAGGCTTGGCACAATGTGGCAACGCTACCAAACCTATCCAAACCTGCTATCGGCAAACCTGGTAGGCTGTGTTTCGCATTGCACACGGAAGGAGAAACTATGATAAATCCAAGGTCACGGGATACATTTGCTAGTAACCCTTAATTTTCTTCGATATGTTTGCAACTCAGGTTTTGAAAGCGCGACAGCAGATGGGCGGTGATGCCTGAACTTCAGATGTGTGGGCTGGGGGAATTCCTTTCAGCGAGAAGACATTGACTATATGGACTGACAGAAGGATGGACACACGTGACTACTTGCACGGTCTTTGGAGAAACCTGGTAAAGATGTGAAGGAATGTATGTATGTCGTTGGCTGGAGCCCGGCTTTTCCTTTTCTTCTTCATTTTGTTTCAGGTTTGCGAGATGTGGGTGGCAATAGCTCAAGCCTCTGAGTGCAGCACTCGGCCTTTCCTTTGACTGACCTGATCTGCGGGTCTGCGGGCTGAATGCTGAAAGCTAAGGATTTGGCATCCACGACGTTGTGAGAGCCTGTGTCAAGAGGCGCAAGGAGTAGGAAAGGGGAGACGCCAAATGCCAGAGCACCCAATCCTGCTTTTCCAATTTCAAAAGAAACGCCAATACTACCAGACACTTATCAGACACTTGTGGTTCCCCTTGATCTTTTCTGTGAAGACATCTGAAGACCGCGGGCGGACCAATCTGATCATCACATGACATGCCTCATCCGCTTCACCTCCCATCCCTGCCTGTGCTGGACGATGCCGGACACGCGTTTCAGGCGTCCAAGGCCTCGGAGGAAGTGCCAGCGCTGCTTTGCGCAGGGGGTACCTTCAGCGAAGTGGAACAGGTTGTGACCTCGACAGTGGAGGTGGGCAGAGCTGGGTGCATGCCTAGTAAGGCATAGTAGTTGTGAGGGCAGGTGTGAAGAGGTGGCCTGATGACTGATGGATCGCGTTTGTTGTCAAATCCCGGTAGGGTAGTGGTAGGGTAGTATGGTTTGGTTTGATCTGCGGGCATCAGAAGAGCAAACTTCACATTGATGATGAGGTTCGCGGTTTTGCTGGTTGGTTCGGTGATTTAGGTGGATGCTGGTGGGGTGCTCCCATCAAATAGTCCGTGCTTTCGAGGCTGACAATCTTATCGCCGAGGGAGTGGCGCTGGCCATGCCAGAAGAGATCGAGAAGTTTCAGAGCTCGAGTGTTTTGATGCGATTGCCGATCCTCTGCAAGTTTTTGGCCACCTTGCCTCCAACTATGTTGAATCATGAATTTTGCGACCTGGCCTTTTGCAGCTATGCCTGGAACGACCCGAAGACTCAGCGATGCCTGGCCAATGACGCGGATCTCTCTTGGTCGGTCTTTTGCAGTGGCGCCAAGGACGGCGCCTCTCGCCTGGCTGCCGTCCTTGGTGCGCAGACGGTCTCCGCCTCAACGGAGGAAAAGCAGGCCCGGCCGCTTTTTTTGGGAAGTTTCAATCAAGTTAAACGTTCTGAATATCGGAGAGCCACACTTTAACACTACATATTATACAATAATATATATTAATAATATATATTATAACAGTACTAGTAGTACGGCACAGTATCGGATGGTATTGGCACATGGATTTCTGATTCTACTTGCCTCAGTCGTTTCAGGCTGCCTTCGTCTTGCGGCGCTCGGCGGGTGCGTGGGCCGTGGAGTCAATCAATGCTGCGGACTTCGTTCGCTTCATGATGGCCGCCAACACGGCAGCTGAGGCCATTGCCTTGGCACAGCTCTTTGCGGCCGTCGCGACGGACGTGGACGTCGACAGGTGGTGGCGCGCGGTGGGTGAGACGTTTCTGTGGAACGGAGAGGCTCAACGAGATGGAGTTCTGTGGCTCCAACAACACGGCCCCGAGTTCGTCCAGCAGGCCCGGGTGAGGCTTGGAGCGCTCCAAGAGCCGTCTGAAAAGCTGGACACGCTCCTCAGAAGCAACAAGCCTTTCGCCTTCCCAGAGTCGAAGCCATGCAATGAGCCGATGGTGGGATGACGCGAACGTGAAAAGAAGCGAACTTGTTAGTGCAGTGACAGTATCATTGTTTCTGTGAGCACAAAGACACAACAAAGTAATATGAACCCCGATGTCGTTGCTATGAAAGTAAAGCAATTTGAAGCACTGGATTGTCCTTGAGTTTTGTGATCCTTTTGTACCACACAAGTTCTTGACAGTTGCAATTCACACCAGGATCACCACTGCCCGTGGATCAACAATTGCGTGGGATTCTACAACAGGAAGTTCTTTATTCAGCTTTTGTCTTATGTGTGCCCTGCAACAGGACAGATTGTTAGCGAATGTTCGCGATCAGTTGGTGATTGTATTGATTGGATTGGATTGAATTTGATTAGAGGATGCACTGCATGTTTGGCAATCTTCGTAAACCAGCCCCCCACGTATTTGATTCATTTTCTTTGATTCAGGTACCTGAGCCTGATAATAGTGGTGCTCTTTACCATTCCAGAGATGTATGGGCGCCACTTGCCTGCAACAGCAGCTCTTTTCCTGCCTGAATGACTGAAGCAAGCAAAGCAAGTGGCCTTGCAGATTGTTGCAGAGCCATTCAAACCTGTGATCTACTGAGGAGGAATGGAGTTGACGAGGCACAGACCTCATTGCAAGAGTGACGTTGAGAGTGATGCTGTTGATCCGCAGTTGGTGGGCGAAGTGTGGAAGAAGGGGTTCCAGTTTTGGGGGTTATTTGCATGTATTTGCAGTGTATGAGGTTTCAAAACATAAAACAACACATGGCACCCTGATAGCGTACCTAGGTGATCGTGAATATTGCAAGAGCGTCGAATACCACAGGATTAACGAACACTTCGTGGTGGACCGGGGACCTCCCAGGAATCCAAACCATTACAGCGAGTCCACCTTTTTTGTCCTGGAGACCGTATTCCTGACGCTGGCGTCTGGCTGCCATGTTGAAGATTTACTCAACTCGACGCTTTTGGTCCTGACCTGGAGTGACTTGTCAGGATGTCCCATTCGCCGAGCTGGCTCCAGCTGTAAAGTTGAACGAGCGGCCTATAATGTCTTATCCCAAAGAATCCCAAAGAGCATAATAAGAGCATATGCTTATTTTGAAAGGAAGTGCTGGAAGATCGGGCTCGAGCAAAGCACAATCTGAGACCTTCTACCGACCTGAGACGAAGAGCACGAAAGATATAGCCACCTCCACAAGAAACCGCTCACATAGCAGTGTTCCCCTCATCACCCCTTGTGTTCCATCTTCTGCGCCCGGATGGATAAATGGAGCCTCAGCTCCTGGAGGTTTGCCTCTGGAGCGTTGGTGGTAGGCGCGAATGGGCGCTGGAAGCACAGCACAGACGGGCATCCAAACGGGTCCGGGTAGGTGAACACTTGTCTTTCTTTCTCCGTGTTTCGGGTGATAAGATCTGTACACCTTATGACGTGTGAAAAGTTTTTGCAGCTATGCCCTCTGTACCATTCTACAGCTTTTCAGACACAGACTGGCAGGGCACAAGGAATGGCAGGAATGGGCCTTCCTGGATGATAGATGGGCGCTTGGCGGACCACCCAACCCACAATCAGCAGCCACGCTCCCACCAATCAGCCAATCCTGGTTGATTGGTTTACTGTATACGGTATGTGCAGGGCTTGAGACATGCCAATCAGGCCAGGTTGTGAGCAGAGCTCCTTCAGTGAGCTCCGCACAGTAAGCTGAACAACGGCAGGCCATTGGGCACCATCGAGCTTCAAGAGCAAGCATCAGTGAAGGACCAAATAGCAAATTTGATCACATGTCGGACTAAGCCTCGTTTTGCATGGGTTTTGATTGAGTCATCAGTTGCATGTGTGGGTCCTCATTCTTTGCGAACAAACATGAACAAACAAGCGGCACATATAGGGGCACCACCAGCAACGGGCAAGCAAGATATCATTGCATCGCATGTCACATGTGTCAGACAGATGTGAAAGACTACATTTGCCTCAATATGCATGCGTGCGTTTTGTGCGCTGACTCAGAGACCAGGAGCTGAAGTATTTCACGGCGGATTTATTAGAACTGCCGCCAAAGTGCCATCGCTTGCTGTGTGGCGGCGAGATCATGGCCAGCCAGGGATGCCTAGCCGCGCAAGGATGAGTAGGGTGCAAGGTCAGGCTAGTATACAACGCTGCGATGAGCCAAGAGACCAACAAGGACGCCGCATCCGGCATGCGGTATGATTCAAAACATTAGTCGCTCGCTGTCCCACACGACCGTACTTTAAAAGGAAGAGTAGCCTGGGTCACCACCCAGAACTGCATCAATTCGTTTTCCGTCCACGAGAGGTGAACAAAACACTGTTTTAACTTAGACTGGACAGCTGTTGTAGCGGTTTTTGCAGATGAACCTGGACTGTACACGATTCATTACCATACAACCCGCGCTAATCTCAAAAGGGCATCGCTGGCTCTGCCACTGTGAAGGGTCAACCGAAGCAAGCCAATCAGTTGTGGACTCCAAGAAAGACACAATAACTGAACTCTGGAGATTCTAGGAGAATTCCAGATTGTACACAGATCTATGATCTATGAGCTCGATTCAAATTCAACAACTGGTCGGTTGAGACATGTTCCGAGGTCAGAGGCTCGTGCGCCACTATAGCCAGGGCAGCACGCCCTTAGAGGTGGAGTTGGTGTTGATTCGGGACTTGGGTTCCGGATCAAAGAGATGGGCCTCTGAGAAGGGGAATCTGAAATCAATATAGCAAGGGAATATGCACACTTGCATTATCTTGCATTGGCACTGGTCCATCAATATACACTTGTGGTTTGCTGCTATGTGTATATATATATATACACACGATGAATGCACAATGAATCTTGCCAACAGTGAACCAGGGTGAACCGAAAATCCATTCCCGAAAGCTGTCAGAATCCATGTTGCAAGCTTAGATGATCTTGGATATGCAACTACACTCTTGACGATGCTCGAGCAAGCATGCCACATTTGATTAGCTTTCTTGGTTGAAGGATATTATTAATCTCGCCAGTTCGGAAGCTTTCATGACGTCAATGCTTTCCGATGAGATTCGATAACTAACCCTATAGTCACCGTAGTCTACAAGGTTTTTAATAGTTGTCACGAAAGGTGTTTTCCAAACAGATTGGTGCGGCTGCCCAATCTCCACTACTGGACTCTGCGGCTCAGAGAGGTCTTGGTGGTGATCTCTCACGAGTTGCTGTACCGACGCATGGGCGATCCAAGTAACGCTGTGAGGCGCAGAAATGCAACTCATTGTTGATAAGGTTGTACTGTAGAGGCAGAGGATTCAATTCGTTTGCTGAGAGAGAACTGCCGCCACAGAATCATTACTCATACGTACAATTTCTGTAAATACATACTGAGTTCGATGAGCCATGGCCATGAAGGAGTTGCTAGACTGACAGTTCGTTGGACCTCTTTGCGTGGGGGCCTCTAAGTCCTACGTACCTACAAAAGGAGGCCATGACGTCACGGAACCAGGACAGTGTGTGTCCATATACAGTACATCGTTATATTCTATATACTCTGTGTGTGTGATTATCAATCATGTTGCCGTCGTGTTGCCCGATGCTGCAAATTATCCAAAAGATTAATCTTTCCGGATCGGTCAAATTATGCTGTTGCACTTGCGCAACTTCATGGTCCCAAAAATGAGGCCCAGAATGGGACAGAGCGGTAGCTTTCGGGAGAAGTGACGGCCCCTTTTTGGTGGCCAGAAAATGGCTCCAGTTTTGGGGCCAAATGATCGACTGAAGAACCCGTGTCCGTGTCCGCGTGATATAATTATATATATATATTATAATATATATTATATATATATATATTATAATATATACATACATCTCTTCCGCCTACGCCTACGCTCACACACACACAGACACCCTTGTGATACATTTTTGATTTTTGCGTGAGTGTCCTGCATCACACTTTGAACATTGGCATGGGATGAATGGGCAGAGATGAATAGAGCCTCCATCATCCTCCATCAACATCATGAACTAGCTCAAATGTGACCTGACAGGTCACTGGGCAATGGGAAAATGCCCACACAAAGAGCCTAAGAAAGATAATAATCCAATCAGCAATCGTTCTGCAAACGATTGCACTACAATGCACCACCCGTGACAACTTTTCCATCATATTCTTCCACCAGGCAGGCAGCCTTGAACACCTTGAGCCGAGCGGTGGAGCCGGGGTCGAAGGCCAGTGGAGTGGAGCGGAAGGTTCCAAAGAATCATGGAAACGCGATCATGGAAACGAGAGAAAAACAAACGAACACCAATGGCCTCCAGCCTAGAAGCGATGGCCTTCACCCTAGAAGCAAACTATATGGATATCTTATAACTTAATTTTTTGGGTACCTGTGCACCTAATCTCCTTTGAAGACCCAATGGAACTCGTGTTGCCTAGTATTCTTTGAGGCGGGTCCGGATTTCGTTGGTTAACAGTATGCAGTGGTGCAGTGGTGGAAGACATATGTAGACTTCTTGGAGCAAGCATATTGGGCGTGACCACCCAGATCCTGATATGTTGAAGCTGTGCACTGTGGAGGTTGCCCCACAGATGCTCCACTGAGAGCGTTAAACTATATAAAACTTAACGACTTTTAAAACCAACACACGTGGAGTATTGGATGGGTCTTGGGCGTCGGAGATTTGGTGGGTGAGTTTTGAGAGGCGGCCATCGAAGCAGTGTGCCGATGCTTAAAGGATTGCGAGGGCGAGGTGGGCGTTGGGTCTGCTGCTGGGTGGGCATAATTATATTTATATACAGTAGATGCTCGGGCCAGCCAGATGGAAGAGATGGGACGAGATGGGATGAGATGAAGGTCATGATCACAGATTTTCTTCCCAACAAATGGATACAGTACACTGACACACATGGCAGATCTGCGAGTATCGTTTTCGGTAGTGGTGTGGCGTGTTCTTGATGCGTTCCAGTTCTTTGTGTTTTGATCTGGTTGTTTCCGACACCCACCACCAAGATCAGCATACTAGGCATAACATCCGGAACTAGGCAATCACGACCACGGAAAGACGGCCTCGCCTCGAACATCTACCCGTACTTCATGAGTCCGAGGTAGACCAACAAATCAGAACACATCTTCAAGCTCCTATAATGTGTGTAGGTTTTCATGAGCCTCACATCAGTTGGGGTGACCTCACTGACCTGCCACCTTCCAGAAAACACCGGATCCCGGAGTGCATCTCTAGTCAATTTCCCAATATTTTCCACCTTTTGGTTGAAGGATGCGTGAGTTGTTTTGCATGATGAGAACACTTGGATGTCGAGGTGCGGCGAATTGCCCTAAAGACCCTGTCTTGTATTTCGGAAAAGGGCAACACACAGGCGCTTGGGCGCAGCTGCACAGCCAGCTTGTTTCATTTCGCTCGCTTTCGCTTCGTGGTTGAATTGATATTGGTGACCTAAGGTATTTGTGATTATTATCCATAACAAGTTATGCTTGGATGTTTCGGTGATCTTGTTACGCAAATCGCACAGCTGAGGAGAGCTTTGCACATGCTCTCGTCTCTCATTTCTTCCCTTGAGCAAGTCTGGGAATGATTGTAGAGGTTTGGGATGAACGTAACAAACAATTGCATAATTTTCCCAAATCTTGACACCACATCCGAAGGACCATTTTGATCCATTTTGGTGTTTGCTTCATGTGCATGGGTATGCATGGTTCAGATCGGATCAGTAACATCCACCTTGATTCTTTGTCATGCGCATGAATATCACAAATTGGGAACCTCTTTGAGTTGAACGACCCAGAAATCCACGATCTGGAGGTCATCAATCTTCTATGCGACAACCTGGCCGGCGGCGATCTCTTCACCAAGGCGCTGGGCGAGCGAGCTATCCTGGTCACGCGGGAGACGAGTAGAGCTGAGGAGTGGCCAAAGTAGGGAGTATCCACTTTCGAAAAGTCCATGTAGATTCCTGCATCGCTGCATCACCTTGACATGAGTCAACAACCCCGAAGACTAGCAACTATTCCCAAGTGCCATCCACCTCCCGGCCCGACGTCCCGGGAGGGCCCATGTGAACAACGGCTTTGTTGGTGGGGTGAACCAAGAAACACCAGAAAGGCTCAAACATGCCGCAATTTGCAGCTGACTATCTTCCGAAGCCAGCTTGAAGGCGACGGCCATCAAGGGCTTGACCAAAGTGGCAGGGATAGGCGCTGGATGACTGGGGAGTCCCGGGGAGGTTGGGAACCACAACACCATGGAATCATGGCATGTTGACCCAAATGTCGTCTACTTCTCTTTGTGCTGCTTGTCACTTCTAGCCTCCAGTTTAGGGGCAAGGGCCCAGCCATTGTTCAAATCCTGAAATCACGGGTGTTGCATACGCAACATTTCTGGTGTACAGTACAGTTGGTCCCTTTCGTCAGTGTAGTTTGCGCATTGTTGTTGTCGGAATGGAGAGACTGGAATTTCCCGCCCAACTCGAAAAAAGATGCAGGCATGAGGATATTACCACTTCCCTGTCAGAACAGAGGGGCAGACAAGGCAGTGCGTTCTTGTGGTTTTGTTGTAACGATCTACGGAATCTACGGTTGCGTGTCACGACACTTGCTGCCCACTTGATGAAGTGATCTCAGGCCATGCGCAATGCTTGTCCACCATGCTGGAGCTCATTGGACACCGCAAGGTGGCGACAAGGACGTCGCTCCTGACGATGCGAGAAGGGCGACCGTGAACTGGAGTTCAGGAAAGAACTCGATTGCAAGGGAGAAGAAACACTGGGCCCGATATCTGGAAGGCCACCTGAGATACGAAATGAACCGGAGGCAGGCAGCTTGCCATAGTTTTTGGATGATGCAGGAGTGGATTCATAGGAACAGTGGCATTGATAATATGGTTCAACGTCCAGCGTCAGAGTCTGCTGGAACAATCTGGAACCAAAGAGATAGTGTAACGTGCCTGGTGTAGATGTATACAGGGGGCGTAGAGGCTTCGTCAGCCTAGCCCGAACACCAGGAGATTTGCCATGGAGTCCCTGTCACAGGCAAGGGATTACACTCTGGGCGAGTGGATTAGGTGGATGAATGTGCATGTCGCATTTTCTCAAATGAAATAAACACACCTGAGCAAATCCATCTTATTGGTGTGGACAGTGGACATGGGACACTGTGTCTTTCTCCAGCGCTTTGTAGCTTTGTATTTTCCTGTGGATGCAGGCTGCAGGTGCCGCATTTTTATGGGTGCCTGCAGAATTTGGTGTTGGAAGCATGGTGGTCATGTTTGGTCGATTTCCCAACCCGATGCCGTTTTGAACCAACGGAATCGCACCGAAGGTGGCGGCCCGTGGCGACGGGCGCGCTGTCGAGGCGGCACGGGGCTCCTTGCTGGACCCGGACGCGCAAGTGAGGCGAGGCCACGTTGGCGAGGTGAAGAATGGTGAAGATGATAACAATACTGTATACATACTAATCGAATCTAATTAGTAGAGGTATGTTACAGGTAAACTTGCCATCGGCTGGTCCTCATCAATGCTTCTATATCTAAATGTTCTAAAGTATTAAAAAAAGGGGATTCATTCGCAGTCATTTAAGATCAATTGAGTTTGTGTTGATGTTGGAACTTCCTCAGTGTGCACTGGTCGGAAGAAGTTGCGAAGTTCCGGAGTTCCGGGCCCCTGGGACTCTTGGCCTCACCCAATTGACGAAACGAGGCAAGCTGCAGCTGTGAGCCTTGGGCAGCTTGCAACGCCTGGAGATGAGGATGTGATCCAAGAGCTCCTGCAGTGCCTGCAGGCGCTTCCAGTCAGAAAGAGGTTGCACATGGTGGCATTGGCATATAAGCTTTGAGAGGTGTTTCTCGTCTTTTTGTGGTCCAAACCTTGAGGCCTGTGAAGTCCTTGGCTTTACATGGCTTTACCTTTTGGACTCTGTTGGCCTTATTTTGCTTGCCGGTCTTGGAGGGGCCGGTCTCAAAGACTTAAAACTCTTCGCTTCGGAAGAGCAGACAACTAGGAGACGGTGTCATGCCAGCATCCGCCACCGCCAGCGTTTGTTCAAAACCGGAGCTCCAACAGGTTCGAAACGCAAACGGCCTCCAATCGCTTATACCTCCAGGAACCTTATTTGACCATGGTAGACCAACACGTAGTGAGTTCGCTACGCTCGCCAAGAGAGAATGTCTCCTCAAGCAAGTGGCTGGTCCGGAAATCGAGCACTGCCTGTCGCTGCGCCAGCGTGTCAGATCTTAAAAGACCAGGTTTGGAATTGATCGGCTCACGGTCACGCCTCCGGTTGTGAAGTCACCAGGGGTGAACTGAGGATGCTTGTAGACCTGGTCCATGCTTTTGGCTCTCTAGTACTCCGTGTGTGCCAGGGTGACAGTGACAAAGTAGCGCGGCGCTGCGCGGCAATCTCCCTGGGGCAGATCGTGATTGAGGTTCCGAGCGAGAGAGTGTCTTGAAAGTGAGGGTGCAAGCCCAAGTACTTAGACTGCACAAGAATGACTTGAAGATAGTACAAGCACAGGGACAGTAAGGTGTTGCCACATAGAGAACAAAACACTGGAACTGAACGTTGGTCCCGCGGTCCATAGGTTTTCAAGCGTTTATGAGGTGTTGTAGTGATGGCCTTGGGGGGTCCAGCAAAAAAAACACTTGTATAAATGTACTGTAGGTAGATCACGTTTGGCTAGTATTGGAAACAAGAGCATCACACCTGACAGGCAGATGAGAAGGCACGTGGGAGCTGTGTTGGGATGCCAGGGTTTCTTTTGATTCTCATGCCAAGAGTGCCGCCTGTGGTTCTCTCAAGTCTTGCCTTTTCCATTCAAAAGGAGCCAGGCCCAAGTCACTGCAGAACTGCAAACACAAGACAACCATCGCAAAATCCTTCCAGTCATGCCATGACCTGGAATGCCACAAGAACTGCAGTCGATGGCAGCCTCGCTTGTCCAAACTCCGAACACTGTGGTATAGAAAATGTGTGCCCAAAACCTCAAGGGGAGTCAAGGTTTTTGAATGCCTCTACAGGATGATGTCATTCAAACGTCGTTCAAGCCCACTTGCGCACCTTGCAGAGGGATTGTCAATCAAAGACCTCCCCCTGTTGAGCTACTGATGCTCTACTGCAAGCTCCACGCATTGATAGTGATCGATAGCTCTCGCTTCAGTCTTCAGGTCCTTGGTGCACTGGAAACATCGGCGCGCGATAGCAGCCTGAGGCTGGTGTAAAAAAGCTTTGGAGTCACCTAATGATCCAAATCCAAGACCTTGATATACCTCTCGCACCATGTGAGAACGCATGGTGTTCCATCCATTTTCATGTCATGATGCTAGGTGTTGTTGTAGAGATGTCCTGCGCCCTGCGCATCTCAAAGCTCTAAGTCTATGACACTTTGTTAGGCTCTGCCCGACTTGTGACAGGCGGATCTGTTCCACTGTGAGGGATGCGATCATCGCGATCCGGTCGAAAGAAGCTGAGACACTCAACTAGCTCATGGGGTGCTTGAGGAGAAAGTCTGCCATTTTGGGGGAGCCAATGACACCCCTGCTTTGTTTGGGACCAATATATAACCAATATGGAATAAAATGTATTTTCCAACTGTTCCTGCCTAAGCACCACTCTCCGGTTCTCCTGAAGCACCCGATGATGTGCAGTCCGTTCTGCGAAGCAGACCTACGGACCGTGGCTCGAAGGCTTCTCAAAGGAGGCGGGGGCACTTTGCAGATTGGACACATTTTTTGTGTGTCATTGGCTCAGGGATTCGGCATTGGCAGACTTGGTGTCAGCTTGTTTGTCTGCTACTTGGACACTTCTTTTTCACATCCAAAACATCCAAAACACTTCTTTTTCGGCATCCTGCCGAAATCGTTCAGCTCCCGTCCCGAAGTCATTCGAACGAGACCGAGCTCGAAGAGTCCGGTGCTCCGATGTACAGTTCGGCCATGACGGCTCTGAGAGTGACGTTTTAAAAAGTGGCCGCTAAGTGACGTGCTATGATGCGCTATTGTGAAGTTTCGTTTTGAGTCATGCAATTTTTCAGAGGGAGGTGCTTGCGCTCTGCATTCAATCGCCAACTGCACCATTTCGTGCCAGGTTTTGCATGGCATTGTTATTGATTTGCACCCTCACCAACTTCATAAAGTGCCTGCCTGAACAAGATGTACATTGAACATCATCAAACAAGGTTTGCAATTAGAATTTGAGTGTTCCTTGGCTGGCAGTAACCGACAGTTTGCACGGCCGATGCCCAAGGTTTCACATGAAGCTGGTGTTGGAAAACTACACCACCATCGAGAATCTTGAACGCGAGGCTGAACCGATGCCACACGACGCTACACGTGATAAGTTATGATGAAATAGACTGGCTGACTGCTTCTGGACGAGGCAATTAGCAGGTAGGGTTATCCTTTGCTGTCCAATTCCCTTGTATGATTTGTATGATAGCCCAGATGGACAACGTGGATGTTGCTTTTGATATAAATATAGTACTAAACTAAAGATATATAATATAAGATATACATGTAATATATATATATAACTATATATATGCAATGATATGTGTATATATATATATGTATATGTATATGTATATGTATATGGTATATATGTATACATATTATATAATATTATACCATATATATACGGATGCTTGTATTTGCTCCAGGAGGGCGCGAAGAGTAAATTCGACATTGGACGCCGCAGGACAGGGCGAAATTGTGAGGGCTGCATCGACAAGTGCTTTTTTACTGTAGGTCCTTGCTCCTAGTAGTAAGGCCAGGAGCCCCTAGTTGCGTCCTTGCTCCTAGTAGTAAGGCCAGGAGCCCCTAGTGGCGTCCTTGCTCCTAGTAGTAAGGCCAGGAGCCCCTAGTAGCGTCCCTGCTCCTAGTAGTAAGGCCAGGAGCCCCTAGT